CCGCTGAAGGGCACTGAAGCATCCGGAACTGCTTGTGACATGATCAGTGGAAAAGGCTGGAGGGTTTGGCTTGGTCGGCATGATCGCCGCGCCCCTCTTTGTTGCTGCTTCTGTGATCGGCGGGTGATGGCGGGTGCGACGGCCGGGCGACAGGTCGGCGGCCGGGCCGACCGACCGACGGGCCGACCGACGGGCCGACCGACGGGCCGACCGACGGGCCGACCGACGGGCCGACCGACGGGTGGGCGGGCGGGCAAAGGCCATCCAACCATCTCCTCCTTCCATCCTTGCTCGCCACGGGCCCGAGCCACTGGTGCCACCTAGCCATTCGCCCCCCACACAAACACATACACATACACACGACTCTCTCCACACTGCTGACTATGGGAAAGAGACGGACGGGTGCACTGGAAGAGGCAGAGGGCAGAGGGACTGAGGGCAGAGGGGCCGAGAAACGGAGGAAGGGCCTCAGTGGGCGCCCTCGGCCGCCGGGCAAGGGGAGCGGCGCAAAGGGCGGCAGCGATGAGAAGCGGCAGCGGCAGGGCAAGGGCAGCCGCAAGGGCAAGGGCGGGTACAAGGGCAAGGGCGGGCGAAAGGGCAAGGGCCGGCGCAAGAACCCGCAGGCGGCGAGCGCAGTGTACATGGATCCGGCGAGCGAGGCGGAGGCGGCGCAGCTGGCAGCGACGGCGGAGGAGCTCCGGACGGTGAGGCGGTCGCTGCCGATCTTCTCGGGGCGGAAGAAGCTGATCAAGGCGCTGCGGGCGACACAAGTGGCGGTGGTGGTGGGCGAGACCGGATCAGGCAAGTCGACCCAGCTGCCACAGTACTTGTTTGAGGCCGGAATGGTCAACGCGCGGTCGCGGGTGGCCATTACCCAGCCACGTGTGGTGGCAGCCACATCGGTGGCGGCGCGTGTGGCTGCCGAGGTTGGAACTCGCGTCGGGGATGTGGTCGGCTACCGGGTCCGGTTCGAGCACCGATGCTCGGCCGGGACGGTGATCAAGTTTCTCACCGACGGCATGATGCTGCGGGAGGCCATTGCCGACGACGCGCTCTCCGAGTACGGTGTCATTGTTCTCGACGAGGCCCACGAGCGGACCGTTCACACCGACGTGCTCCTCGGCCTGCTCAAAAGCTTGCTCCAGCGGCGGCCGGAGCTCAAGCTTGTCATCATGTCTGCCACCCTCGATGCCTCGGCCTTTGCGTCGTTCTTTGACTCGGCGCCGGTGCTCTACGTTACAGGGCGGACGTATCCAGTCCAAACGTTTTACGCTGCCGAGCCACTGGAGGACTACATCGACGGCGCGCTGACCACGGTGCTGCAAGTTCACGAAGACCTCGCCGAGGCGCCGGGCGACATGCTGGTCTTTCTCACCGGGCAGGCCGAGATCGAGGCGCTCCAGACGTTGCTCGAAGAGCGGGCCCCACTGCTCGACGCAAGCACAACGCTCAAGATGGAGGTCCTCCCGCTGTACGCAGCGCTGCACCCGGACGAGCAGGCCAAGGTATTCCTCCCGCCGCACGATGGTGTCCGCAAAGTTGTTCTCTCGACCAACATTGCTGAGACTTCGATCACCATCAACGGCATCACAACAGTCATCGACTGCGGGCTAGTCAAGACGCGGGCATTCAACCCACGGATCGGGGTCGAAACGCTCATGATCATGGAGACATCGCAGGCGCAGGCGCGGCAGCGTGCCGGGCGTGCGGGACGCGAGCAGCCTGGGCGGGCCTTCCGGCTTTATCCCGAGTCTGCCTTTAGCGACCTGCCTGCACAGCCAGTGCCGGAGATTCGGCGAGCTAACCTGGCGTCAGTCATTCTCTTGCTCAAGGCCGTGGGCGTCGACGACGTACTCAACTTTGACTACATGGAGCCGCCGTCGATCGAGTCGCTCACTGCTGCGCTCGAGCAGCTGTACCTGCTCGGTGCTTTGGAGAGCGATGGGCGGCTATCTGCGTTGGGCGTGCAGATGTCGCGGTTCCCACTCGAGCCGCGGTTCTCCAAGATGCTGCTGGCTTCGGCCGAGCACGAGAACACGGCCGAGATCATCACGGTGCTTGCCATGCTCTCTGTCGAGTCGATCTTCTTCTATCCCAAGGACAAGATGGGTGCGGTTGGCGCAGTGCTGCGGCGGTACTCTGCTGGCGGCGGCGACCATGTCATGCTACTCAACGTGTACAAGGTGTACGTCATGTCGGGGCGATCGGCCAAGTGGTGCACCGAAAATTACGTGACGGCGCGGTCCATGCGCAAGGTTGACGCGGTGCGGAAGCAGCTGGTCCAGCTTGCACGCGGCCAGGGTCTGGATCCGACGGCGTCGAGCGACGACTCGGAGGCGCTCAAGAAGGCGTTGCTTGCCGGTGCGTTCATGGACGTGGCGCTGCTGCAGCCAGACGGCTCGTACAAGACGGCCAAGTCGTCGCGAGCAGTGCTCATCCACCCATCATCGGTCCTGTTCCGGGCCAAGAAGGCGCAGGCGCTGCTGTACAACGAGCTGCTCCTCACTTCGCGGCAGTTTATGCGGACTGTGACGAGGATCAACCCTAAGTGGCTGCCGGAGATCGCGCCGGGTATGTACGCGTACGACGTGGCGAGCGGGAGCTCGGCGGCGACCGGTGGCTCACGCGGGCAAGCTTCGGGTTCTGCGACCAAGTCGCTCGCACAGCTCAAGGCCGAGACTGCGGCCAAGAAGGCGGCGCTGTCGACGGCGCTGGCTGAGATGCGGACCGGCGAGCCGTAGTGGGGTACTGAATCAAAGCTACGCTAGCTGTGCGGTGTACAGGGATGCCATACATAGGGCGCGGGTTTACACAGACCAGAAGCCGAGGGTGTAGGCGAGGCGGATCCGAACAAGGTCGATGGCCATCTGGATCGAGGCCTGGACGACCGAGAGCTTGGAGCCCGGGATCTCCTCCCAATTGACCGAGACCTCGGCAACAGGAATGGCGAGGCGCTGAGCAATGTAGAGGGCCTCGACGTCAAAGGCCCAGCGCTCGAGGTGCATGTGTGGGAAGATGAGCTGAGCAGCGGCACGCGAGAAGAGCTTGAACCCGCACTGGGTGTCGCGGATGCCCGAGACGCAGAGGGTGGAGACAAGGCTGTGGAAGACGTGCATGAGGAGGTTGCGGAAGAAGGTGCGCTCGGCAACAGCGTCGTCCTGCAGATGAGCACGCGAGCCGACGGCAACGGCCAGCGGCGGCTCATGGCCTGCGGCAAGGTCATTGAGGGCAGCCTCGAGGCGATCGAGGTCGGAGAACTGGGTGGCGCCGTCGGCGTCGACCATAAGCAGCATCTCGCCGCGGGCGGCGAGCATACCAGCACGGACCGCGCCGCCCTTGCCACGATTGGCCGGCAGGCGGCAGAGGCGAACGACATCGGGCGAGAACTGGTCGACGTAGGCGGCGGCAACGGCGGCGGTGGCGTCGGACGAGCCATCGTCGACGAGGATGAGCTCGTAGGAAAAGCCGCGGTCGGCCTGAGCACGGCCCTCGAGGTAGGTCATGGTCTCGTCCATCATGACGCCGAGCCGCTCCTCTTCGTTGTACATGGGCACAATGAGCGAGAGCGACTTGCTCGCCTCGCTCGTCAGCAGGTCTGGGAACGGCTCCTTCGGCCCGTCCAAGCCTGAGGTCAGCGGGAAGGCGAGCGGCGGCGAGTCGCGCGGCCGGGAGGCCGGGAGGGTGGCCCCAAAGGCGGCCACTGCTGCCACGGCGGCGGCGAGCGCCATTGCTGCCCACTGGGACGCGGATATGCTTCCGAGGAGAGCGGAGAGCATTGAGAGCGGAGTGGGGTGCGGAGGAGTTGTTGGGGGGGGGGGCGGGGGGGGGGTGAGGGGTCGGCGTGGCTGGAGGAGGAGCAGGACTACGATCGGTGGCGGCGGCTGTCTGGTCGGAGTGACAAACGTGTAACAGGCGCGATAGTTTAGCTCGGACGACAGGTTAGAGGTCCTCGTGGACGTTGTCGGCCGGGGCGGCATCGACAGCGTCAGCGTCGACGTCCGAAGCGGCACTGGCGAGAACAAACTCCTTGAGGTCATCAAACTCGCGGGCACCCTCGTACTTGATCTGGGCGTCGACGCCGCCGTTGCCAGCGGGGAAGAAGATGAGGGTGGGGAAGCCGCGGACGTCGATGCCGTTGACGGGGATGTCGTTGGCAGTGGCGTCCATCTTGGCGATGACGACCGAGTCGACCGAGGCAAAGGCCTCGCCGAGCTTCTCGTAGGTCGGGGCAAGCGACTTGCAGTGGCCGCACCACGGGGCATAGAACTCGACAAGGACGTCCTTGTCCTCGGCGAGGACAATGTCCTCGAACGAGTCGGCGACAACGACGGTGACCGGGCCGTCGTTCGACTCGGGAATGGGCTCGGACTTGATAGTGGGCGCGATCTCGCCCGAGAGGACGCCAGCGACAAAGGCAGTGACGGCGTCGGCCTCGAGGGCGGCCGACTCGTCAAAGGCGTAGTGCATGCCGGTCTCGAGGTTCTCCATGGCAAACGAGGGAATGACGTCGCCGGAGAGACCCATCTTCATGGCCTGCTGGATGTACTTGGTGTCAACGTAAACAAAGACGGCCGAGCCGGCAAACTGGGCGGCGACCGGGCGGAAGACGGCCTTCATGGCGTCGAGCGAGTCAGCGTCAGCAACATCGACAAAGACCATGCCCATCGGGAGGCCGGTGTCGACGTACGAGCGGTAGTTGGTGGGACCAACCTCGTCGAAGAGCGGGAGCTTGTTGGAGATGAGGAACGAGCCAATGGCCACGGTCTCGAGCTCGCCATCGTAGGTGAGCACGTCGTCGTCGACGTTCTTGTACATGACCACGCCGGTGTTCTCGGCAGAGTCGACAAGGCCAAAGACAAAGTCGTCGCGGAGGTCCGAAGCGACCTCGGTAAAGGCAGCAGCCTCGTCCGAGCCGGCGGCAAAGGTGCCGATGACAACAACGTCAGACGACGCGGCAAACTCGGCAACGCCGTCGGCGGTGAGCTCGGTCACGGCGGGGAGCGTCTGGCGGACCATGTAGTCAGCGATGGCCTTGGCCTCGCGCGCACCCTCGTACTTGCCGGCCTCCTCGCCGTTGCGGAAGACAATGAGCGTGGGGTAGCCACGGACGCCAAACCGGTTGGCCAGGTCGGCCTCCTCGGTCGCATCAACCTTGGCCAGCCAGGCGTCGACGCCCTCGAGCGCGTCAGCAGCCTGCTCATACTCGGGAGCAAGGCGCTTGCAGTGGCCGCACCACGGCGCAAAGAACTCCACCATCATCAGCGGCTTCTCCGCCATGGTGGCCTCAAAGTTGGCCTCGGTCAGGTCGATGACGTTGGACGCGGTGGCGAGGGCGAGGGCCGCCGCCAGGGTCACGAGCACAATGTTCAACTGTAGGTGGGTTGTCGAGAAGCAGGGAGGAGGTGAGGGAGAGGGAGGGAGGGAGGAAGGGAGGGACGGAGGGGAGGGACGGAGGGACGGAGGGACGGAGGGAAGGGAGGGAGGGAGGGAGGGAGGGAAGGGAGGGAGGGGGGAACGGACGGCGAGGTCGCGCTTGGTCAAAGACGGCGGCTTTCTTGCTGACCTCGGCTACCTGTTTTTTAGATC